GAGTTGCCTCAAGCCGGCCACGTTCAAGTAAAGTATGTTTAAATATAAATTGTATGAATATGTGTGGTATTATAACTGTGCAGTTTTGGCATCTATTCCGTTTTAAATTTAAATTTGCATGATCAGGTTGCATAAGCATACTTGATAAATTTACTTAAAGGTGTGGCCGAAAAACTGCAACTTTAATACTTGAGATTACAGAGTAATCTCTGATAAGGCAGTCATATCAGATTGGTCTACACCAAGGACTGCCTTCACTTTTATAATCCTAACGATAAAAAAATAAACGGCGAATATATGCATAACAGATCGCTTTATAAATAAGGTATCGAAAATTGCGAACTTTGAAAAAATGTTCTTATGGTTTCATATTAATGAGCGCGTTTAAGTCGACAACCGACTAGTCTAGAGCAAATGAACATGATTGATTGTTAGTTGTAGATCCAACCAACCAATCAATCGCTCGGCGAGCAGGCTAGCAATTTTGTTCGTTTGGAACGCGTTTAATATCGATTACTCGTTCTCTTTATATCTATTATTTCTCTAGTTATTTTTTAATTGCAATAATAGACATGACGCTTGAGTGGATTTGCCCCAGAGTGCTTAATAATGTATTCTCCCCCCCTCTCTTTCTCCCTCCCTCCTTCCCTCCTTCCCTCCCTTCCTCCCTCCCTCTCTCCCTCTCTCTCTGCATTATTTTTATTTTGCAAAAAAATAAACATGAGTAATATATAAAATAGAAGAGTAAAAGTAATGTAAAATAGAAAATATGTCTAGAATAAAAAAAAGCACGTTCAAGAAAATTATACAGAATAATATTTTTTTACATAATTTATTTTCAACTTACCTGCTTATATGATAAAAATAAATAAAAGTCTAAGGTCAAGATAATTATGTAATTTTTTCTGAAGCCTTATAAAATCTTGTTATGTGATGTATTTTTAGCCGTAATGTATTCTTGTTTTGCATGCAGCAAATGATTTAAAAAAAAAAAGAGTAAATAATATTAATATCATTGGAATATTTGCAAGAACATTTTTAAATAATCGATTTCTTCTGTGCTTATATCATATAGATATTTTTATATTGATAAATGTACAGCGACGTTTTTTGTGGTTAATGTATAATTCAGTGTATACATTAACATTTCGTGTAAAAGCAAAGCACTTTTAATTTATTCGCTAATACTTGTTGTCGTAATATTACATGATAATGGCAAAAACATCTGCTAAATAAAATTTTGCTTGCGTGTTGCCATAATTTTAAAAATGATGCCAAATTAACATTTATACTTTTGATGATAAGCAAAATTGCTTCACCTTTGGCAAAATATTGTCATAATCAAATACTTTTACCACAATTGTTACCGTAAAGTTACTATAAAGTTAGTCTACTACAGTTTGCATGTTTCTTTGCTTGCAATATATACTCGTACTGCATCAAATGAGAATTCACCTTGTTACAAATTGCTTGCAACATTTTTAAGCAAATTTTCAGCGAAATGCCGGCAAAATGTTATCTGGGAAATGACGCAATTAATATATATTGTACAGATTGACATGTTGTGTTATTTATACATAGGGTATAAAAAAAAAGAGATTAAATTAATATATCTATTAAACATTATTATTTCTCTTTTTTTATTTTCAGTCAATTTATGATGTGATATCCAGCTTCAGTTCATGATTACGTTGCAAGTCTGATAAATGAAATCAGCTTATAGAAGCTGAAAAACATATTTGTTTTGCATATGAATATTAAGCAACAAGATTCAATTTGAAAAATATGATTTTTTTTTTATTTAATTTATTCTTATCGATAAATTTCACTTAATTGTCAGTTAATTTGCTAACGAAATTCTCATAGATTATTACATCATTTCTTATTACATAATTTTTGATCTCACTTATTTATTGGTCTTACACAATTTTGTAATATTATAGATAAATAATAATAATTTAGAAATGGGATAACAACTGACGTTTATTTTAATTTAAGAATAAGTTTTGCGATTACTTATTTATTCTTTATAATTCTTTAATAAAGTGTTTTCAGATACGGTTTCATTAACCAATTATATATATGTACAACGAGTGTCCCGTAAGTTTTTGCCAACTGATTTTGTATAGATAGGGCGAACTAAACTGAATCAAAAAGCTCTCTACCATTTTGCAATTTTTACAATGAACAAGTTAACGAAATATTAATTACTAAAAATCGCTGAACATTGGTTCTATATTAGAATATTTACCATTTTCATATATGGTCTCGGCACGAGATGGACTTGCTTCTCGTAAGAAGGAAAACGTCCTGTAAGAATTAGTGTATGTAAATCAAATAGGCAAATCTCTTAGAGATTCTCAAGTGCTTTCTGAATCTCTGAATATTTTTTTGACTATTTTATAACTTTCTCATATGTATTTTGGAATGTGAAGCTAATCAATAATATTTTAGCAATAAAACTGTATTAATTGTTTCCGGTTTACATTAGTATATATAAATATATATAATTATGTATAATTATATATAACCATTTATATATATGTACGTAAAATTTCTTATAAGAAACCAGGTCGATTTAAATGAAAATGACAGATTTTACTCGGTTTTTATTGCCAAAATCTGCTATCAAGTTATATCAGTAGGTTCTGTTTGATTTCTACTGCCAGTTTGTTTACATGGAATGTAATAGATACTGTCGGCAGAACAGAAGCAGAATGTGAAATTATTGTGGTGCTAACATCTTTTGATAAAATCTGTTACTAGTCAGTTGATATTCTAATACAATATTTCGCTATCTGGGATATTATGTAATTTTAATTATATCACCGATTTGATCTTGGCATACTTTATTGGAGGGACATTCTAAGGATAAAGACGTCTTTTGGAAGTGTGTGTTCTGGAGTATACTGATTTTGCAAAACTTTCTCTTGCAAAAATATAATCAAATAAATAGTTTGATATTAATTTTTAATATACTAATATTGATAAATAAATTTGTAATTAAAATTTTATTTAAGCAAAGATATTTTACATAATCCATACAATTAATAAAAAATAATAAATAAATAAAAAATAATTTCGCATAATTATTGTTAACAAGAAAGAAGGAGACTTTTAATAATATTTAATTAACAATGATTTAATTATGTTTAATTACAGATTGTTTTACACAATGAAATAATTTAATATTCTAACGTATATCAAATATGATAATTACGTAACAATCAAATATTATATAATATTATGACAATTTAATACTATAATATATATTCACGATGTGAAAAAGATAATTCTGTATAATTGAATAATATTTAATTTTTAATAAAATCATCATTTGCACAGTATTATCTGCAGAAGATACGAGTCTTCTTATAAAATTGTTTTCTACTGCTAAAATTGTGAGACTGTCAATTAACAATGAGCACTACGGAAGATGATGTGCATCGTGACTCGCTCTTGCACAATTTATATTCAAGTATGAAGTACCGCATATACAGATGCAGCAGGTCGACGACCATGCGTACTGCATGCGCCAGGTGCGTAAATATGCGTACGATGACTTTGCGCTACTTATCTCGATCATCATGCTCGGCACATCATCAGCCAATCTTCCACGGAAAAAATTCTCAAGACTCTCACAGATGTCGTTGCGCAGCAGGGATTTATCTTTGTGTCGTACTTTGTGCGGTAAAATTTTATGATTTTAACGCGTTTCTCTGATAATCGTTAGAAAAATCGTTCCAAGTTGTGCAATATGAATTCTTGTCGTCATCCGAGATGCACGTGATGAACTGTGCAGAGATCTTGCACAAAAATCAGAATAAACATAGTATAGTATATGATAAAGTGGTATAAATAAATCATGTGATAAAATAAAATATACAAAGATATTATAATTTTTAAAATTAGTATAAAAGAGAATTCAATGATGGAAAGAATAAAATATATCATGATGTTTTACAAATTTTTAGTAATAAAAATTTGACGAAGTGTGACATGTAGATGGTAGATGTAAAATTAGAAATTATTCTGTATTTTGTTAAAAATGAGAAAATAAAAAATCGTTGCTTTTAATTGAAAATACTTTTTTTTTCATATATATATTCTATTACATTTGACATGTAAACATGGCAATTTTAGCTTGAGATAATAATAATATATTCCATAAAAAAAAAAAGAAATATTTTCTTGAGATATAAACAAACGAAGAAACGAATAAAAAGCGCTTATTCTGTGCACATGAAGATGTGCAATCCAATTTCGCAATTATTATCGGTTGGTTATTTATTAAATCACTACCTAAATAATTTGTACCAATTTTATCAGCGTATTTTTCTTTTTACTGTAATCCACACTCTTTTAAAAATACATATACATTTACAGTAGTAAAGTAAAAATATTATATACGATTATAATTACAATGATTACTAATATGCTATTTCTTAAACTTTTACAAAATGGGCTCGAGTAAAGCAATTATATGGGATAATAAATAAATTTCCAACAATAGAATTATTAATAACTCTAATTTTATAACGCTCAAATAAATATTTATCATTTTTTTCATATTTTTATATATAACAAAAAATAATTCTATATTATCAATAAAATTTCGTTCCATCAATACTTTACTTCATTGAAGATTATTCTAAATTACAGAAATCATTTTAACAAGTAAATAATGTTAATATAAAAAAATGAATACTCCATATTTTTCTTTTTCTCCCTTATCCATTCTCCCTTTCTACTTCTATCTACATTTTCTTTTAATTTTATTCGTATCTTATCTTTAATTCTACTATTTTTATTTTTTAATCCAAATTTTTGAATAGCTGTTCCTCAAATGAGAGCTTTACTAAGGCATGTTAACAACAACACTGTCGCGATATCTATCTTCATGAAACTAGCAAAATTCCCGATTCTGGGCGTCAAGCTCATCGCGTGATCGTTGTGATCAATACGATTGATGTGATCCATATGATCCATGTGATTCATGTGATCCATGTCATCTCTGTGATTGTATATCGTCGTCGTGGTGTATGTTGAATCGCAAACCGTGCCCATAATGAGTTGCTCGGTTGATCCCATAAGTATCCTAAAGTTATAATCACGTAGGTCCAATTGCGAGTACATGAAGATGGGCAATCTGTCGGAGAGAATCCACAAGTTGCCATTCCGATCGATCTATCGAAGTAAAAGAAAGATTATGACACAACAATAATAATATACATAATATGATAATAAATAATTTTTCCCTCTTCAGTTGTTTGTAAATTACCTTATGTATATCTGAAAAACTTCTATCTATATAATTAGTATTACTTTATAACTAATAAATTTGTAGAAGTAGTTATGTTGCATAAATATCTACTGAGTTATTTCTCTCAATAAAATAAAATAGTACAACTTCTTCTTACCGCCTTTAATACAATAAAGAAAAAATAGAAAAAAAATCATACATCAAAGATATTTTATTCGTAATTTTACAAGTAATGAAGAACATATACGAGGAGCGTGAGAATTGTACTTTGCTGAATTATTGTTGAAATAACTAATTACATTTTTCAAAAATAAAATGGGCAATTATTTCCAGTTATAATTATAAGTTATATTTTTCTGTTTTCTTTTTAAAACTATCGGAATTACTTCATGTTAATCGAAAATTAAAATTTTCCTACCGTTGATTTAGCACCTCATAATATGTGATGTGATGAAACAGAATTTATTGAAGCTTGTGATATGTAAAAGTAATTTTAATTGCTGCAATACTAATAAATTATTGCTGTGTGGTAATTAAGTAATTAGGTTTCGATAGATTCATGATTACCTTAAGATCGTTGGGGAAAACCATGGTGATGTTATCCTGATAAACGTAACCTTGTTGCTGTATGGAAAATTTATTTTGCGGTCTCCAACAGGCGACAGTGTTTAGATTCGTCAGCGCGTAAAAAAGAACTCCGGTCTTCGGATCTAGGAAGCTGACGCTACTCTGGCCGTTAGGTCCGCGCGAACCCAGCGTTTGAAATTCGTGAGACGTTTCTAGGACAAATACATGAAATGATCTTAACATTTCTACAAACACCTCACATAAAATGTTAAAAAACATTTGTCCTTTGGAAGACGTGTGAAATTCTAAACTATACGTTCCTTTTTTTTGAAGCAAATTCTTTGAAGTTCTTTAAATTGACTTGCTCTTTGTTAAAAGATTGACATGATTCTCGAATAATGAGCAATTAATGATCTCTTTTTAGTAATTTATTTAAATAATGAAGTTAATTTCAAAGTTGCTTATAATAATTAATTAAATTCCAGCGGATTGTTGCTTGTTTTTTCAATATTTTTATATGTAATATAAGGATATGATGGGCAATTTCTAAAATTCTTTATATAAACCATGCGAAAGATCAATGCACGTGAAATAAAGTAAGGATTTGTTCGGCAATCGAATGATTAGTGGTTTATTATGCCTCTTTCATAAGCACATGATATATATTTTTTTTAAACGTACCCGCAGCACTGGCACGTTGAGCATCGCGTAATAACCTTGTACTAACAGAGAATTCCATGCCACTGGAGAGTGGATGGTAGTACATGGTGCTGTAGCCGTCACCAGTCGGTGCGAGAGCCATCCCAAACAGGCCATCATTCCATTGAAATGATATTCCTGACACTTTGAATTCTCCGCCCTGAGAAAGACAGCACGAGCTGTGAAATTTCGCTCAAACGATTTAGCGTTTATTACGACATATTAAAAATTTTACCTTATTGTATATCAAAAAATACTTCTTAATTAATCAATTATATATAAAACTGATAAATTTATTGCTATTAGTATAAAGATAGAGAGTTTGAAGATTATTAAAATGACTAGTTACTATAAAATGTGGTGTAACTTTGGATTTCAAACTCTGGCTCAAATTTTGATAATACCCAGACAGCATGTCAAAATCGAGACATATCGAAGGAAAATATAATCAAAAGATGAACACGTATATTCTAAATCACACCGGATTACCATCGGATCCGGGTGGAAAGAGTGGTGCTTGACAAGCCAAGATTTGCGGAGGCTCCAGGAGTAGACAACGAGACCCGGGCCGCCGAGGTCGCCCAGATAACCGTACGAGTCCTCACATGAGTAATCCTCAACAGCGATGTTGGCGAATAGGGAATCAGTGGTCCTTTGGTCGGACGGTATCACGTATTTGCGCAGCACGCGATCAGTCATCAGGTCGTAGACGATCAACGCCGGCGGCGCCTGCTGCTCAGGGCTACCCAGGATGTCCGTCAGTCCTGTGTCCAGAACCCAAAGCCGGTTGCAACGATCGGCGCGCACGCGAAACGTCGAAACGATCTCTGGTACGCCGGCGGCGCCATACTGATGGGCCTCCCAGGAGGGATACGGAATCAGAGGTGGTGAATTGTTCGTACCTGAAAGCCAAGCTCTGATACCGACGACGCCAATCCCAGAGGAAAAGAGAGACTCATTGATAAAGTTCTGTTTGTTTTTCTACTCGATTGAAATAGTCCTCCTTAAAATTCTCGCAAGATTATTTTCAGTAATTTATCAGTAGTTGTAGTACGAGAAAATAATTTAACCTTGCTGGTCTGACCTGATCTATTTGATCCAAAATATAATTTATTTTCTTACTAATATTTTATTTTCTACCAAGGAAAAACTTTTTTCTCTGGTATTTGATAACAGATTTTTTTTCTATGAAAATGTTTTATTCTTTATTCTTTAGAGTTTTTTTTAATCGTATTGATCCAAATAATATAATTGTATAGTAAATTTGAAATATAGACTTAACAAACATCAGAAAACTGAAAAGAAGTAATAAGGAATGTTTAAATCTGTTTGTATGGAAAGAATATTATTGATGTAAATATAATTAAAATATATAATTGAAATTGCTGATGAATATCTCTCAAATATTTGTCTACATTATAAAATTGTAAATGTCTTGTCAGACGAACAATTATTATGCTACTTCTCGAGCTTTTTCCAAATAAGTAATTGTAATTTTTAGAACAAGATAATTACCGTTAAGTTTAATATAATTGAGACTTGCGGCAACCCCTTGTCTCCATCTAGGCACTGTGATGAACAGCCGATCGCCGGCCACCTCCAAACCTAAGGGCAGATTGTCCTCCTGCTTGTAATCTGGGAAGAGCCTCTTAATATCATTGCTCGGCCATTCATAATCGATTTGCTTCCATTGGTAGGCTATTCGCAGCTTATCGCTAATGGCGATTGCACTATCCAGCAAGACGACCAGAAGCGCGATTGTGACGACGATCGACGACGCCCGGCACCGCATTGTCATTATTCTGATAAGAATATTATAAGCGATTTACCTCGCTATTTTTTCTTAAGAAATTAATATTTTCAGTTTGTTTAAAGTTTCTTTAATTAAAATTAAATCTGACAAAATTAAATCTTTTAAGATTAAGTAAAATAATATTTTTAAGTTAAGTTTATAAAGATATGAATACTATTTAACGAATTTAATATTAATTTAGGGTTAGGCTCGTGAGTTTTTAAGAATTTGTACATTGCTGCGTTGTTATTACTTAATATTTATATTTAATTATTATTTTTGTTGTAAAGGTGTAGATAAAATTGATTTAAAAATAAGGATCAAATGTATGAAGGAGATAAAGTGCGATTTGCATTCCGGTTTCTCCTTGAAAGCCGCCGGCCTTCGCGGTACATAGCTACTGAGACTCGTTAATTAATACACATGCATGACTAATTGTTAAGTCGCGGAAATGAGGTCTTTCTATCAACGCCCTCGCGTGAAAGATACCGCAAGGCGACGATAAATGATAGATGATGAATACTCAATAATGGCGAATGCAAATGTAATGTCTCTTCTTGATCGTTTTTGACACAAAACAAATGTTTAAGATATGAATAAGTTTGCTAAGAAATTTAAATAATTTTAATGTATTTTAATAATATGTAATATAAAAGTTAAGACATTTTCTGATTCATCTATCAGATGTACTAAAAATAAAATATTATTTTGTTTAAAAAAAAAATATATATATATGTGTGTATTTTGTCATTTTATATTTATTATATTTGAATTTTGTATGTCACAATAAAATATTTTTGTTTATTTAATTTATTAATCACAAGTTAATTATTTGTTCAATTTATTTATTTAAAATTTAACTTTCAAATTTATATAATTATAATTTTAAAACTTAAATTTTGACTTATATTTTGTGTTCTATTATTTATATAAGTTTTTAACAAACAACAATATTTGATTTTTATGCAGAAATATCTTACTTTATTCTAAGAAGAAGAATCGGTTATCCATGTGCGTTTAATAAATATCTCGACTCTTTTATGATTTTAATGATGTAACGGATTATATCAAACAATAATGGTACTCAAGTTAGTATTTAGAACTGGGAGGTACTTAAGTTTGAAAGTAAATGATAAATGTTGTCGTATACGAAGAAGCATATTATGCATGAAGCATCGTTAAAAAATTTTTTTATAAATTTTAGAGAGACTTTAAATCTTTAAGATTGTTTTTCCTCAAAATCTTTCATTAGATTTTTCAATATTATAAGATATCAGTAAACTTCAGATTTCAATTATAAAAGAAATCGAAAGTAAAGTATACTGAAGTAAATTCAGAATCAAATTTTTCCATAAAATATTAATGATTGTTTTTCAATTATTTACATATTATTATATAATTAATTGCGATAATTAATTTTATAAATGTTAAATAATAAATAAATCTAATACTAAATAATTAATCAGTCTATTTTGCCTGATTATTCTAAAAATTTCGTTTAAGATATAAATTTAAATTTTTAATTAAAAAATTGTTTGTGCCTCAATCATTTAATTAAAGGAAAACTTAACCTTATTTTTAAAAAATATGTAATAATTAGAAAAAACGTACGTATAATCTTGGATTTTATATATATACACAATATATTATAATCTCTGCGTAAAATCCTTTGAAAACTCATTAGCAATATCTCTTTTGTGATCTTATACGAAAAAGAAAAAAATGCAAGAATAATTAATCTAAGAGTACAGTATTAACATGCTATTTACATTCGAAGAATTAAGAATTCGCTACTATCGTATATTTATATTTGCCATCATCGAGTGATTGCTGAAGAATTGTTGAAGGTCATTGCTGATTCAGTAGCGGATTTCTCATAGAACGTCATTTGTAATTTAAAATAACGTTACATATTGTGATTTGTTCAAGTATATTATGATTCAACATCATTGAAGAGTTTACGTGATTACTAGAAGCTAAAATTAAAAACCAAGATCAAACATAAAGATTGCTATTTATAACTAAAATTAAAATTAAGAATTGTAATTAACAATAAAAAGAAGAAATAGTTTAATTATTAAAATCAAAATTTACATGACTGATATCCTAAATGTTATCCTAAATGTTTATTACGTAAACGTAATTAAACGTGAATTAATAAAAATTTACAAATCGAAATAATGCTATTTGAACTATTTATTTGCTTTTAAACGTTTAATTATAATTATAATCTAAAAAAAACTATTTATCTGCTCTTAAATTGTTTAATCTAATGATAAATTTACATACAAAAGAAGTATTCATGAAATAAGTGTTCATAAAAAATATACTTGCGCGACAAAATGGTAGATTTTAATCATGACAATGTTATCCGTGTCCCATGAAAATCCATCCTTTCTCTCCGAGAGGAGAACAATTTCATTTTAGTGGAACACGGCTGAATTCACCGCGACAGATTTTCTATGTTTAACAAGCGAGTGTAACACGGTTAACGGAAAAATAGAAAGCAATCGATTTTTCGACCGCTTTACATTCGACTCGCTGAATGATACAGCAACCGCGCTCTCATGCTTGATATATGTATGTTATTTCATACCCAGAGAGTTACCTACATACGCAACGTTGTACGCAATAACACTATATAATTTACACAGGTATTATATCTCCACGTTCCATCTAAATTCATTCAACTATTTATTCAATCGGATATATTTCCTAATACTAAATGTATCTGATCAATAATATATTATATATAAAAAATTCTCGCGTCATTAAACCTTATTTCTTTTATATAATATCGCTATAGTTGCATATAGACCCGTGTTTATATTTAAACATTATTACAATATATAAGTTTTAATAAATATTTAATTATTATAAATTATTATAAAATAAATATTCAATAATTTACGTAATTATTTAATATTTATCGTTTTTTTTATAAAAAAGTAAGCTCGTGTAAATGCAAACGCAATAAATTAAAATGTCAAGGCTTCTTTTAAAAAACGCAGTTAGCTAATAAAATTTGTCTTTTATTACATAAAAGTCAAATCGTGTAACGCTATAAATCTCAACTTTCAAACGTTTCGACTTACAAAGTCTTCATCAGTGATAATAAAGAAAACATATTTATGTAATCTCATCCAATGTCAACAAACTAACATGATACATAATAAAAATTATCGCTCTAAGCTAATCTTATTTAGTTATTCCTGCGTTAAAATATTTATATTATATGGAGATTTATCGTTTATTTTGCTGCACTGCTAATAATAAATTAAACACCTTCAACGTTACTCTCTCTCCCTCTCCCTATCAATTGATATTAATTCAATTACTGTTACAATCATTCGCGCTATGCAAGGATTTTTTAAGACAATCGCGGTTTTCTCGATTATCGCAAACTACCGCAGTAGAAAAAAAACGCACGTATCGAAATGCGGTTTTGCGCTTGAATTTCGCTTCAAATTACACGCGAGATTTCTGCCTCGAATAGAAAGTACGACGACGAACTAATGGCATAGCCTTGTAGGGCAAAGTATTTGCGACGAAACAGTTTTCTGTCAAGTCACACGAGTTGCCACGGAGGAATTGTGTGTGTGTGTGTGTGTGTGTGTGTGTGCTGGGTCTTACATTTTACTTTTACTCGGCAAGTACTTTCGCGCAATTTTTGACGACCATCATGCAGAACTGCATTCTGCCCCCGCAACCATTCTATTGCTCTAATTAAATATACCATGCTAATCAAACTTGTTTAATTCCTCGAAATAAACAGAGCCAATCGGCACGACAGTTCGAAATTAATGAACGCAAGAACGGCGAATTTCTAAAGTCAATCAAATAATTAGGGGGAGTTTAATCACTTTTAAATAAATGATTAAAACATTTGAAAAAATAGTAAATAGTAGAGTTACAATGAAAAGTAAAGATATTTTCAAAATTTTTCATTAACGCGACAAAATCTATAAATAAAATTAAAAATTATACAATTATTATTATTAAATTGTAAAGATTAATTCAATGTATGTAAGTTTTGATATACATAATTATTGATTTTATGTAACAGTGTTACATAAAATTATATATTTTTAATTTGTTTCTTAGATAATTTTTGACCATGTCATACTTAAACTCTTAGACACCCTGTTTTAAACTCATTTTATACACTCTTCTGATATCTTTAGCAAATCTTTTGTGTAGTTTCACACGTACTTGAGCCACTTTATATTTTAGACATTTTTAAAAATTTCTCGTAATTTTATATTATATAATACTTTAGAAGAAATTTTCACATAACACAAAAAAAAAAGCGTAAAAAAGGAGAAATTATTAATAAAGATTAATTATTATTTACACTTAATCCGTTCGATCCTAGGTGAGCACTACACTTCGATCGCTTCTCCGTGAGAGAGAACCGGAGAGCCGCGACAGGTCGAACCACGCGCACCGGTTAAGCGCGACAAACTGTGAATTCGACGGCGTGGCGGTACGAATCTAGCCGGTGCCGCGCTCGATTTTCCCGAGGTATTAGTCGTACGGTACCGTTGGAGATCCGGTCGGCAAACTTGTCGGCCACGTCGTTCCGCTACAAAGAACGTGCGGGAAGAGAAGAGGGAAGCGCCGAGTCTATCAATCGAGTTAATGAACGAGGACAAGGAGTGATTGTGAAGAAATCTGATCGATAATGCAATTCGCAGATGACGTAATTGTCAATTGACGCGAAGGACTCCTTGAGGTATCTTAGGGTCGACACCTCTGGAAATTTCATTGATCCAGTTAACGCGCGAGGATAGCAAGTGAGAACGATCGCAAAAAAGTTCTGTAGAAGAATGATAAGATGTATATGTAATATGGAACTATCTTCGTTTACCTAAGGCATATTATCCTCTTCGGTTTTTGAAAAGAAAAATTCATCAAAAAGTGACGTGAATGATCTCTTTTTTTTTTCAAAGATTAAAACATTTTTCTTAAATATTTTTTTCGTCGTTAAAATTAAGACGCCACCAAACGATATGATCAACGTATGTCAACCGAAACACAAATATCACACACATACATAACATATATAATCCATATTGAATAGATCAATATTTAGCGAATGCGTGCCAAATTGGCGTATATGGTATATTGACTATATCGCCGGAGATATGTTTAAGAATTTTTCAAATGCGCTTACATCAGGAAAACGATAAATGCTTCTGTAAACAATACTAGTTATATTAAGAATATTCCATTTGTTAAAATTATATATATATAATTGATGATATAAAAAAGATACAAACAACAAAATATATTACGCATTTCAAATAAATAACAAAAAATATTGTAGGGATAACGAAGCATTCTTCATAAATTACACGCAACTAATTATAATAAATTTATAATTTTTTTTTCTGATAAAAAATTAGCAATTTTTATATTGACTTTAAGTTAGTAAAATAATAAATTAGCAATTTTTAGATTGACCTTAAGTTAGTTATTAAATAATACATACACCTCTATAAATCATATGAGACATATTGATGGTATATTTATTACAGTTACGTCGAAGTAGATGAATCATGATGTGAATTTAGAAATGACGTATATACAGGGCATAACGTATATACTACCGTCTAATTTTTCAACGATGAATAATTATTTCGACAAAAACTTAAAAAATAACGAACAATCTTCCGTAGATTATATGCAACTGTTATTATCTATAATTACATTATTGCAAACTAATTATTGTATAATTATAATAAATTAATCTCAACCAAAACCAATCGCTATTATACTTTCTCTTCCTTCAGTTACTACCGCTACGGTTTATTTGCTATTCAATAAAAGACAAAATTGTCAGTAAATGCTGAGTGAATAAAACGGTATATAATAAACAAAAAATAAGACGCAAGACAGACTGGAGAACGCGCGAACGCGATTCAGGAAATTCTCCTGTTGCAAATCACAATGCCCGTCATCTTCTCATCCGGGTGAGCGAGTCCACAGACGATTATCCAAGAGCACAATGAAGAAAACATCGTCATCGTGAGATTAGCGCGTTATTTGCATCTCGATGTAAAGCGCACGAGAACGGACGGGGAACGAGGATCTGTCTTGTGGCTTGCCTGAGCATTTTTCTAGCCTTTTCAACATCGCGCAATATCTCTCCAGCTCTTGCTACTCTCGCGGGAGTGTGTTACGCGTTTTCGAGGTCGATTGGCGGTGTATTACACCTGGCTTTCACTTTCGTGATTGTCAGTGCTGTACAACCGTCCTCTCTCGTATATGAAATCCTTAAACCCGCATTGTGACAGAAAATAAGACCAATTTGAAATTCAAGACAAAAGTGTTTAAACTAATAGTGTCAGTTTCAATAGCGAGTTTATTGCTTGTCCTTGGTTGATTCTTGTTCGTGATGATTGCATCTCGCGAGTGTCCGCACTGTATATGACCCAATTAACTTGTTTCTGAATAGTTTAGCTCTTAGATAAGTTTATCCGTGAGTCCCAAATAAATTTCTAGTTCAAATATATCCCTGAATCATAAAAAAAAAATGTATTTAAAATAAAAATTACTTGCTTATTGATTATCTCGTTATATTATATTCATTACATTAATCTAGAAACTTTTTTTATAATTAGCGATATCGATCGGATGACCTCTGTACTAGAAAATTTTTACTTTTTTAATTTTATTCTTGCACGGGGCGCAAACAATGATTGCGGATTAAAACAACGCTCGGCACTGTCGATTAGCTCATCTTGCCGTTCACCAGTGATCGATCGGTTTATCTATTCACCTGAATTCATCCTCATTCGAAAATCATGCCTACTCTTTTTTTCGCCTCATTCTTTTCCCTGCCAATTTTGATATTATTATATTAATGATAAGTATTAAGAGCAATGAGATTAAAGACCTTGATTTCTTTAATTTTTAAAGTTTTATTTTTAATCAAAACATTTTCTAATTGTTCCTTTTTGTATCATTTAAGATACGTCGTAGAATATAATTCAATCGGTTTTAGTTTTTGATTAACCTGAGAGCTTTTAAAAGTTGAGCGTACTTAGTAACACTCGGGAAATGTGCCCGCATATTTATACGGCGCCTAATTGTCTTTTAAATGATTAAATAATCCTGATAAAAGCATACCGTAAACAAAACTCGTTTTAGACCGGCGACTGGTTTGCCTCAGGGTGATAAACATTAATCAAAATGTTCAATCACTGGAAAAGCAGTTCTTTCATCTCGTGGCAATCATACAATTAATGTTCTCAATATCGGCGTGTTGTTCAAATTGCTATAATTACGTGTTGTCTTTATCAAGATAACATTGTAAGGATAACATCACAAGCCTTATGAAACAAAGCAAAATAAAAATTGTGTCAAAAAAGAAATAATTAATCACATAATTAAAAAAAAAAGGAATGTTAAGAAATCTATAATAATAAGAAAATAAATTGTAAAAATAATTCTATAAAATTACATTGTAATATTTCTATAAATTAAATTGTATACATCGCGCGTGGAGACATTCACAATCAGAGAAAAATATAAAGCTGTATATGTACAACTATATGTAGTATGTATAACTATGTAAATTTGATAATACATATTAATTAATATATAAATTTGATAATATATATATATAATTAATGTCTATATATATATATAAAAAAAAAATTTTTTTTTGTCTGAGTGTAATAATCACTTACAACTAAAGAAGTAACGATAATAATTTTATATCGAAAGCGAAAATCGTCAAATCAGTTAGATTTTAAAAAGATAAATTCTGATATAATCCATGTAATATTTATCGATCTTTTCTAAAATTTTTGAAGTGAAACGTTGCTCTGAAAAGTGAAATCTCATTCTTAAATATTGAAAATTGAGCGACTCTTTTTCAAGAGTGGATGGAATTTCACTTCTTAAAGTGAGATTCTACTCGAAAGAATTTGAAGAGTAATCTTAGGAAAACCTGGAAAGAGCATGAACTCTCATGAAACATATCGTGATGATGAAGTTATAAGATTGACTATTTGTTATTTTATTTACACGTTTATAGTTTATCGATTACGATACGAGTAAACGATGACGAATGAATGAAAAATATAACTTTGCTGGTACTTACACTTCATTCACCGGTCGTGATACATTATGCGGTCGTGCTATCGCGAACGTCGACCTCAGCGATATTACGACAATACATAGGGCGTTCTGAAACCGGATGTTCTTTTAACCGCAGGAGAGGGGTCACCAATTACACCGTATACCCAACGACATGCGATCGAGCACTTTGTTTAATGGAACAAAGGAAAATTCGTCGGCCTAGATGCATTTACGCCAGCAGATCGATACACAGGTTTACCTGGCGAAGCACCTTATTGATTTGCAAAAGGTAGCATGGCATTTGACTTTCGAACTATGCCATCGGCATTCGCAGGAGTGTCCGCTACTCGCTCTCGCCTATGGCCGAACGTTGTATAATCTTGCCTGCAGCTAAACATCGTCGCATCATCAATAGTTTACTCGCAAACCATCTCGTAACGCTTCACCAACAATACACGTTATGTAAGACGCGATTTTTTTCAGACGGCTTTAATTATTAATTCTAACGGGGGAAAAAAATTATAAAATAATTTAACCGTTGTATCAATTCGTATCTGCAATCATCCGAGCGTTGGATACGTTCTTGTTTACATTCACTTTTCTGCGCGGATTTCTTTGTGATTATAATGCAGCTTGTAAGTTTTTTTTTACGCGGAGTAACATGAGATACATCGCCAATAAGATTTCTGCTAGTCAAACAGTGGAAATGAAAATCATCCCATAAATTTTCGCAATCGCAGAAATTAATTTTCCAACGAGAAAGAAGGGAAATGAACGCGAAAGCGATGAGAAATCACTGTCTCATAGAAAGTTACCACAGTGAACCACTTTCGCAGGAGAGATTATCTTCTCAAGTTATATCAAGTTATCAGAACGATCTTTTTCCCTGAGCTTCGTAAGAGTTCCGCGCGAACTACGCAAGTTTGATTTAATTACAGTTCGAGACGATAAATCCATTACTGTTGTTCGATCCAATTGAATTCTCATAATTACAAGTCTTATGCGACTTAATTCGATTCTCTTACTTGCAAATTGAATTTAATTAATAACGAATTTGATTCAGTTCTTCAATCACAAGCTAAATCCAATAAATATCAATCTTTTTATCGAATTAAATTTTTTATTGTAACTATAATTTTATTTGTTCAATTGAGTTTACTTAATACGAGATTTAATTCGATTAGATATCGCTTGTTATGCTAACATAATGAAACATTCTCTCATGGTCAAGGATCATGTAGCTGAAATAAAATAAACGAGCGCTGTCACGCTCGAAGTCACAGCCTGATTCCTCCTAATATTTTCACTTCGATCAATCTTTTTTTCTCAATCAATTTTTTTTTCCTCTCTTCCTGTCTATTTCCATCGATCGTCGATTTTCGCCGATCGTGATATGCCGCGACTTCGATCGCAAGATCGCTCGGTGTTCTTGTTCGTATGATTTTATTAATCAGTCTGAATAGATACACACACTCGTGTCACTTCGCTACTTTTTTTTCTCTTATCCCTCTTTCTTTCCTCGATCATTATTGTCCGTTCTACTCGTAACGCAGTCGGCTGAAAACAACAAGGTTGTAGAAGGATAGAAAGCTACGTCTAGAACGCCCGCGATCGGT